TTTTTTTTTTCTTTTACAAATACGCTTTCAAAAGCAACCTTAGCAACGCCCAAATAAGAAGCCACCTCTAAGCAAATAGCATATGTATAAAGGGAGGGCGAATATATATATATTTATAATAGGTATATATGTATATTACAGACGCACAGGTTTACACTCGGTGAACTTTTTCTTTTTTTAAAAAAACTAGTGACATTGAAGAGAAGGACTGTTCCTCTCTATCTTTTGGCGCGTTAGTGAAAGGGGTATTCTGTTTTCTTAGATCGCCCAAGGGGGCGCAGGGACCTCAGAAAGAAGAGTGGGGAAGAAAGAGGAAGGGTGGGTGGGGGGCAGAGGGTGAGTCGGCGGCGAAGGCGACCGCTTTCTTGCGGCACGATGCCGTCCCTGCTGGTGCTCACTTTCTCCGCGTGCGTCCTGCTCGGCTGGGCGTTGCTGGCTGGCGGCGCGGGTGGCGGCGGGGGCATGGGCCTAGGCAGCGGGCGCCGGGAAAGAGAGGCGCTGCCTCCTCAGAAGATCGAGGTGCTGGTGCTGTTGCCCCAGGACGACTCGTACTTGTTCTCACTGGCTCGGGTGCGGCCGGCCATCGAGTATGCCCTGCGCAGCGTGGAGGGCAACGGGACCGGGAGACGGCTTCTGCCGCCCGGCACTAGCTTCCAGGTGGCCTACGAGGACTCGGATTGCGGTAACCGCGCACTCTTCAGTCTAGTGGACCGCGTGGCGGCTGCACGAGGCGCCAAGCCCGACCTCATCTTGGGGCCTGTTTGCGAGTACGCTGCAGCACCGGTGGCCCGACTTGCGTCGCACTGGGATCTGCCCATGTTGTCGGCTGGAGCACTGGCCGCGGGCTTCCAACACAAGGAAACTGAGTACTCGCACCTCACGCGCGTGGCGCCTGCCTACGCCAAAATGGGCGAGATGATGCTAGCCTTGTTCCGCCACCACCATTGGAGCCGCGCTGCGCTCGTCTACAGCGATGACAAACTGGAACGGAACTGTTACTTTACCCTCGAGGGTGTTCACGAGGTTTTCCAGGAGGAGGGTTTGCATACGTCTGCCTACAATTTCGACGAAACCAAAGATTTGGACCTGGACGACATCGTGCGCTACATCCAGGCCAGTGAGCGAGGTGAGCAGGAGCGCGTCCCGGACCCCTGGTCCTAACCCATCCTCTCTCCGCGACTCTCCTTACACAGCGGTCGTGTCCTCTGCAGACCTCACTGTTCCCTGTGGCGCTAAGGATCCCGGGAGGGTGTGCGCGGGGACTTGCCAGGTGTGAGCTGTTTGGCAGCGATCTTTGAGGATCGCGCATCGCTGTGGAGGGGTGTACTTAGAGGGTCCTGGGGAGATGGAAGGGTCTGGGCAAGGAGAAAGCCGTCTTCTGCGGGTCCATGTCTGACAGGTGCTGTCAAACCACTCGGGGATTTTCTTCCCAGCTCCCTCTTTGCCAGCGCAGGGTTGGCGATTAGAGGCGCGCCACCAGTGCCCTGCTTCAGGGTCTGAAGCATGCCAAGGCCGAAAGAAGTTGCTACCCTTTCTGTTGCTGTTGTGCGCTCCCGCTTAGTGGCAGCGTCCTAGGACGCTGTGCAGCTGCGCGCTGCCACTTGGCTCACGCCCGGGCCTCTCGATTTTCCTAGCTGCGCTTTCCCAGACCCCAGGCGTCTTTTAAAAGTCTCATTGTGTCGCTCTGTCATTCCTTCCATGACCCCTCTAGCCCCTTACAGACAAGTTTCTGTGGTTTCTACTAAAAATGCTTCGTAGTGTTTGGACTTGGGCAACACTCATTTTCCCCGGGGCTTTCGTCATCACAATCTCTAGAGCGCCCAGAACTAGACTTTGCGGGAGCGCTCTCGGAAAGCGGCCATTGAATCTCCTTTCCACCTGCCTCCACTCAGCGCCAAATTTTCTCGGCGGGTCTCTAGGGGGTTTGGAATAATACCCAAACTGGATAAAGTGCTCAAGACGGGAAATGGTGGCTATGGCTGCAGCGAGTATGGTCGAGGAAAGGTCATAGCGGAAGCCCCTATTGCGGCCCATTTTACTGCAGGTAGACTGCGAGGAGGGGGGTTGGTGGTGAGATCCCAGCATAGTGCAGTTTCCTCCTCCGTAGTAGAGGGGTTGGCGTGAACCGCACTCAGGGAATCCCGCCTCCGATTTCCTTCAGTGCGCACGCGTCTGGAGTGCCTGGGGTGAAACCCAGCAAAACTCTTCGCAACCCCTGTGCCACCCAGGGGAGCAGGGTTGAGCCATAAGCAGGGTTTGTCTACATCTTGGTACGGACTGGCATCTGAGCTTTGGCCATAGGGGCCAGCCAGCACAACCTGAGGCTGGGAACTTCAGAAGCAGGTGAGAGTAGGCAGAGACTACATTGAGGATGAAGCTGTAGCCATCCCGCTTCCCATCTTGGTCTCGGACTTGAATGAACACACCCTTTAGAACGAAGGGGCAGGAGGTGTTGACAGTAGGCTGCCTGGCATGTTTTGAGCATTCGAACTCCAGGCTGTCTGCGCCGAATCCCTGCCAGCTAAGCAGGCGGGGCGCGGGCTCTGCTGATTGTGAAAAAGAGCATTTGTGTTCAACAGCTGCGGACTCGCCACGCTTGGCCTGGGAACCCACATCTGTTTCTCTCCGCCCTTGCGGTCCCCGGGTTGCCGCAGCCTCCTTGCAGATCTCGGACTGCTATAGCCCCTGGAACCTGCTTCTTCAGCTCTCAGTTTTCCAGGGCCAGGAACTAGAAGTTGGAGACTTCTTAGGGCTGGTTGGGGTTGGGGGTGTGTCTCTCTATCGGCGAGACCCGTGGTTTGCAAGCGCGTGTATGCTGCCTTTGCTGGACTGGTTCCAGTGGGCAGTCAGAGACCTCAGCGCACGTGGCGTGGGATACAAGGCAGAGTGGATCTGTTTGCCCAAGTGAGGGTAGATCTCAGCCAGGGACCTCTCAACCTCACATGAGTTGCTGAGGCCCTGGCACAGGGAGGGCAGTAGTCCCGTGGTGGGCCTGGGGGGCTGGTGGCCTCAGGCTTTAGAGGATTTGGGCTGCCTTGTGTTGCTACTGCGCGCTCCCTCCCCCCTTTTTGTGTTATATAGACATATATATGTCTATATATATATGTCTATATTACACATTATATATAAAACTTATATACGTACTATATATATCTCAAAGCCTCATAGATATTACCAAGTCTCTGCTTTTTTTTTCCTTCTAGATTTGAATTTAGCGATGAAAGTTTGCTGGGCTCAGGTTTATACCTTACAGGTGATAAAGTTATGATTTTTATGATTCTTACTTTAAAATATATTTCCAACAAGGACCTGACATATATTCGGAAATATGAAATAAAATAGTTTCTTTCCTAAACCATTTTCCCTACCTTCCAAATTCCTTACTCTCAGGAGAGAAAGTTGCTTGATAATAAAGATCTCAGGGGATCTTCTACAAACACATTCAGTTATTACTTTACCATAAACAGTTAATGTGTTAAATAGGAGGTTCAGTTTCAGTGGAGTCTGTAGCTCAGCCACTCACTGCCTGGTGAATCTTGGGCTGCTATTGAACTCTGTACCTGGGACTCTTTAGGTAAAATTGGGTTAGGGAGAGTGCCTGGTCTTTGGGATGATGGGAGGAACTAACTCCTGGAATGTGCTGAAACAGTGCCAGACCCATAGTAAGGGCTCAGTAAATGTGGTTTTATCATAATGGTTGTTACTTTATATATGTGATGATAAGCACCTTTACTGAGAAGGGAAGGTCCTGCCATGGGAGAAAACCCTGGGTTGAGAAGCAGATGCTTGGGGATCTGGTGTCTTAACTTACCAGCTTGGGTTTACCTGTGCAAGGCACTGTGCAGGAGCTTCCTACCCTGAGGCACAGGGACTCTGGTGAGAATTAGGCCTCTTCAAACTGATGTTTGGTGGTTCTGATTTGTGCATAGGCTCTTTTTTTAGAAATAATGATTTTTATTTAAAATAGATTCACTTGTACATCTGACTACTACCCTCAATATTCCACGCTTAATGGTAAATTTATTTTAAAAAAGATAGAATGGACTAATTTTTTCAAGCAATGAAAGTCAGTCATTGTTTTGTTTATACACCTTAAACTATACTATACTTAAAAGTATAGTAACTGACAGTATTTCTGCCTTTGAAAATTCCTTATTAAGCATTATGAACTAGAGTATTCTCTGGAGAGTTCCTTTGCCCCTTCTTTTGTTGAGAACATTTAGCACTTGTTTTTGTGCTATGCTTGACTTCATGTTTAAATCCAAATGAATATTTTAATCTCTTAAATGGCACTCTCAATGGCACTATACAATGGCACTATCCCAAATAATCATATGACTATTTTTTTTAATTATGGATTGTACTAAATCCATAAACACTAAAAGACTTCAGTTGTTTTTTCATCTTAGGGAGTTACTAAATGTAAGTCAATAATTTAAAACCATTTTTCCTCTCATGTCTTTAGCTTATGTCACCAACATACACATGACTGAGCATACATTTTTAAAATAATGGTCTTTATTTAAAACGGACTCACATATGCATATGAGCACTGCCCTCAATATCCCACACTTACATGATAGATAATAAGCTATATCCCCAATGGATAGATTTATCTTTAAAAAGACAGAGTTAGAATTAAGTCATTTTTTTCAAGCAGTTAAAGCCAGGAGTTTTTCGTTTATATTCCTTATAAAATACAGTACTCAGAGTATTCTACACACAAGATTTTTTTAAAAATGAAAAACTGGAGTTTTATTATTTTAGTTATTAATATGTCATCAAACTGGGCCTAGGTAATATCTGTAGAGATAATAGTAATTAATCAATACAAGAATCATCCATTTTTAATAGTCTGGGGTAAATGAGTGGTAAATGATAAAGTGGTTGATCAGAATTTCTAAATAATGCACTATAAGTGTAAAATAACTTACCCAGAATAACATGGAAAAAGAGAAGCACTGTAGGCTGCAATGCAGAAATCCCAGACCTTCAGAGAAGGTAGTGCTTTGTGAACAACAAAAAAGAAGATATATCTCATTTTTGCAAACAATATCTATTACTATTAAATGTAGAAAACAGCCAGAGAAAACTTTTTTTTGAAAAAAATAGATTTTAATTTAGCAAAAATAATTATAAGCCACACATAATTTAAAATCAGAAAATTATACAAATATGATTAAGAAAACTTTCATTGCTTTCTACTCCTCATTTCTGACTTTCCAGAGGCAACCATTTTTAGCTAATGTAGCTTTCTTATAGTCATTTGTGTTTATATCTCTAAATAACAGATTATTTTATGGAAGATGATGATCAAGGTCGCTTCTACTGTCTGTTAACCACATACACATTTTCCTTTTAACATGGACCTGTCAAAATTTTGTTTAGCTCAGTATTCAGTATCAATATCATTATTTTCTTCTAAATACTGTTCACAGTCAAGACATGCAGGTTACTAGGATGACACTATCTTTCTTGCTCCGCTTTCAGGCTTAGGGTAAAAATTAAAAACAAAAACAAAAACAAAAACAACCTTTTTTTTTGTTGTTTGTTTTCTTAGTTTCCTATGGACTTAGAATTAAACCATTACAAAATTATCTGTTTTAAGCTCCTGAGCTGCTTCAGTGTAGTAGTGTTTGAGCTACACTTCATAATTGTCATTCTGCGTTGTTCCTTTAATATCTTCCTAGGTCTCTAGTCACCTCTATTTTTGAGCTAGGTCCTAGTGCTCCTGTTTTTTGCTTCAAGCCCTTGTTTGGGGGAAGCATATTATCTAGGAACTTTCTGAGAAAGAATGAATGAGAATTTTCAGACTTGTCACAAATGGAAATTTCTTCATCTTGCCTTTAAACATGATTGTAGAATTCTAGGTTGGAAATAATTTTCATTTGACAACATGTTCTGTTGTCTTCTAAATCCTGATGTTACTATTAGGAAGCTTGAATAGATTCAGATTCTGGAAGTAATCTTATCTTTTCCCCCCTCTGCTGAAAAGTTCTAGAATCTTCTCTTTTCTCCCAGTGTTTTAACATTTCATTAGGATGTGCATTAATGCCAGTATTTTGCCTTATTACTCTTGGTAGGCCGCTTCTTTCCAGAAACTCTTGTCTTGTAATTCTTGGAAAA